TAAGTGACACAATACATCAGATGGATTAAATTGATATCTTAAGAGCATTTTGCCCCAAAGCAGCAGAATATACATACTTATCAGTGCACATGGCATGTTTTCTAGGATAGACCACATATTAGAACACAAAAATGGTAATGAAAAAATACAATGAAGATTAGATTAAAAAATCTAAAAAAACACTAAAACTTTATACTCATATATTTAATGCAATGCAACTAAACCTAAGCATAAAAAAAATAAATCTCCTTCTTTCTTTCTGAAAAGCATTCCATTGTGTAAATGTACCACAGTTTTTTGATCCACTCATTTACTGATGGGCACTTAAGTTGCTTCCAGCACTTGGCTATTGTAAATTATGCTGCTGTGAACATTGGGGTGCATAGGTTTTGAATTGGTGTTTCAGGTCTTGGGTATAATCCCAACAGGGGAATTGCCAGGTTAAAAGGCAGTTCCACTTTCATTTTTTTCAGGAAATTCCATACTGTTTTCCACAGTAGCTGCACCAGTCTGCATTCTCACCAACAATGTATTTGGGTTCCCTTTTCTTCACAACCTTGTCAGCACTTACTGTTTGTTGATATTTTTATGGTAGCTGCTCTGACTGGTGTGAAGCTATATCTCATTGTGGTTTTAATTTGCCTCTCTCTGATGGCTAGTGATGCTGAGCATCCTTTCATATGTCTCTGAGCTCTCTGTATGTCCTTCTTGAAGAAGTGTCTGTTCAGGTCCTTTGACCATTTTTTGATTGGATTGTTTGTCTTCCTGGAGTGGAGTTGTGTGGTATTTTTATATATTTGAAAGATCAAACCCTTGTCAAAGGTATCATTTGTATATAAATTTTTCCTATGTGGTTGGTTATATTTTCATTTTTCTGACCTTTTTTTAGCCATGGAGAAGCTTGTTGATTTGGTGTAGTCCCATTTGTTTATTCTTTCCTTTTTGTCCCTTGCTCTAGGGGTCATATTGGTAAAAATATTGCTGTATGAAACATCTGAGATTTTCCTGCCTATGTTCTCCTCTGGAACTTATATTGTGTTACAACTTATCTGGAAAATATTATGCTAAAGAAAATAAGGCAGGCAGTGAAAGACATACCATATGATCTCACCTATAAGTGGAACCTAATCAACAAGACAAACAAACAAGGGAAATACAACCAGAGACATTGAAACAAAGAACAAACTGATGGTAACCAGAGGGGAAATAGGAGGGAATAATTGGGGGGGGGAGGGTCCTTAAGGAACATGTATAAAGGACACATGGACAAAGCCAAAGTGGGGTAGGAATGAGGGTGAAAGGTAGGGATGGAGGGAAATGGTGGGGGGGAATGGACACAACTGTACTTGAGCAAGAATAAAAAATAGTAATTAAAAATAAGTCTCAATAAAATTAAGAAGATTGAAATTCTATCAGGCATTATCTCTGATCACAATGCTATGAAACTAGAAATCAATCACAGGAAGAACACCAAAATACATGCAAGACATGGGAGCAAAATAATGTTATTAAACAGTGGATGAGTCTACAACAAATCAAGGACAGAATCAAAAGGTACCTTGAAACAAATGAAAATGAGGGCATACCAATTCAATCTGTGGGACACTGGGAAAGTAATCCTAAGAGGAAAATTCATAGCACTAGTGGCCTATCTCAAAAAAACAAGAAAAAGTTCTAATAAACTATCTAACTTTACACTTAAAGGAACTTGAAAAAGAATAACAAACAATACCCAAAGTGAGAAGGTAGGGAATAATAAATATCAGGGCAGAAAAAGAATGACCTACAGTCTAAAAATATATATAAAAATCAATGAATCCAAGAGGTGGTTCTTTGAAAAGATATAAACAAGATTGACAAACCTTCAACCAGATTCATCAAGAAAAAAGACAGAGGACCCAAATAAATAAAATAAGAAATGAAAGGGGATAAATAACAACTGACACAGAAATACAAAGGATTGTAACAAAATATTATGAACAATTAACAAACAGGACAACCATGACAAAATGGATAAATTGCTAGAAATACAAAGTCTTCCAAAATTATGTAAGGAAGAATCAGAGAATCTGAATAAACAGATCACACCTAGTGAAGTTGAAGTAGTATTAAAAAACTCCCAACAAACAAAATCCAATACCCATTTATGATAACAATTCTGCAAAGAATGAATAGAGGGAACATACCTAAACACAATAATAGTCATATATGACAAACCCACTGCCAGCATCATAGTCAATGGGCAAAAACTACAAATGTTCCCCTTAAGATCAGGAACAAGAGAGAGATATCTGCTTTGACCTCTCTTATTCAATATAGTACTAGGAGTCCTAGCCACAGCAAACAGACAGGAAGAAGAAATAAGGGTCATCGAATTGGAAGGAAGACATAAAACTGTCATTATCTGCAGATGACAGTGTACATAGAGAACCCCAAAGATTCTACCAAGAAATTACTAGAACTGATAAATGAATTCAGCAAAGTAGCAGGATACAAAATTAATACCCAGAAATCAGTTTCATTTTTATATGCCAATAACAACCTAAAAGAAAGGGAAATTAAGAAAACAATTCCATTAACAATTACTTTACAAAGAATAAAACACCTAGGAATAAACCTAACCAAGGATGTAAAAGATTTGAACTTGGAAAATTATAAGACACTGAAGAAAAAAACTGAAGAAGATACATACACGTGGAGGTACATACCATGTTCATGGATAGGAAGAATTAACATTCATTCTACCCAAAGCATTCTATAAGTTCTACTTAATTACTATCAAGATTCCAACAACATACTTTGCAGAACTAGAACAAATATTTCTAAAATGTGTATGGAACCACGAAAGGCCCTACATAGCAACAGCAATCCTGACTGAGAAAGAAGAACAAAGTTGCAGGAATCACAGTACCTAATATGAAACTATACTATAAGGCCATAGTAATCAAACAGCATGGTAATGGCATAAAAACAGACACATGGATCAATGGAACAGAATAGAAAACTCAGAAATAAACTTGTACCTTTATAGGCAATTAATATTTGACAGAGGAAGCAAGCACATACAATGGGCTAAAGACAGTTTATTCACTAAATTGTGCTAGGATAATTGGACAGATATGTATGGAAAAATGAAAGTAGACCGCTTTCTCACACCATACACAAGAGTAAACTCAAAATGGATTAAAGACTTAACTGTTAGACCCAAATTCATAAAAATAGTAGAAGAAAATATAGGCATAAAATAATCTTAGACATTACTCATAGCAATATTTTATCAGATATATCTCCTCAGGCAAGGGAAACTAAACAAAAATAAACTACATAAAATTAAAAAGATTTTGCACTGCAAAGGAAATCATCAACAATATGAAAAAACAACCAGACACATTGAAATTAAGAACAAACTGACAGTAACCAAAGGGGAGGTGTGAGGGGATAATGGAGTGAAAAGGGGGAAGTGTTTTCAGGAAAACTATAAAGGACACATGGAAAAAAACAAGGCAGGGTGGAATTAGGGAAGGGAGATGGGGATGGCTGGGGTAGGGGGAGTGGTGGGGAGAAAAGGCAGATAACTTTACTTGAACAACAGTAAAAAACAATGATGAAAAGACAGCCCACTGAATGGGAGAATGTATTTGCTGATACATCAGATAGGAATTTCATATCCAAAATTTATAAAGAAGTTACAAAACTTAACACCAAACCAAAAGAACAAACAATCCAATTAAAAAATGGTCAAAGGACCTGAAGGCACTTTTCTAAAGAGGACATACAGATGGCCAATAAACATAATTTAAAAAGTTCAACATCACTAATCAGAGAAATGCAAATTAAAAACATGATGAGACATCATCCCACACATATCAGAATGACTATCATCAATAAAGCAACAAACTACAAATGCTGGTGAAGATGTGGAGAGAGGGGAACATTTTTACACTATTGATGGGAATTTAGATAGGTATGTGGAAAGCAGTATGGAGTTACCTCAACAAATTAAAAATGGATCCGTATTTTGACCCAACTACCCCACTTCTGGAAATATATCTGAAGGGACCCAAAACACTAATTTAAAAGAACATAAACACTCCTATATTCATTGCAGCTTTATTTTCAATGACCAAAATATGCAAGCAGCCCAAGTGTGTATCAGTAGATGAGTGAATAAAACATCTATGGGATATTTACACAATAGAATACTACTCAGCCATAAAAAAAGAGAAAATTTTACCCTTTGTGACAGCATGGATGGACCTGAAGAACATTCAGTGAATTAAGCTAGTCAGAGAATGATAATAATACCACATTATTTCACTCATGTGTGGAATCTAATGAACAAACTGAACTAACAAGGAACTAGAGACAGACTCACAGATAGAGAGCAGGATGACAGCTAAGGCAGGAGGGGGAGGTTAGGGGATGGAGAGATTGAGCAAAAAGGAAAAGGGACTCATGGACATAGACAACAGTCTGGTGATTGCTGGGTGAAGGGAGTATAAGGGGACTAAATGGTAATGGAAAACATACAATAAATATCAAATTTAAAACATTAAAAATAAGTGTCTTTAGAATTGCAAAGACATATAATAACAGAATAACCAAATAACAATTTAATGCTCTATCATGAAACACCTATACTTTGAAAAATTAAAAGCTTTGGAGGGTAACACAAATATATGGTGTAATTTTTGGTGGCAATTTCAACTTTCTATCAAGTGAGATTGGATAAAGTATCTAAATAACTCCTGAAGAAATGGAATCAAATTTAAAATTTAAGTAATTCCAAAAGCATATTTTAGCAGTCTAAAATGATATACAAATCAAATATACTTAGCTGGATTAATTTGAATCTCTCATATTTTAAAATAATTTTAGCAATCTTTAATTTAATCCAGAATTTTAATTATTAATTGAAAAAAACTAACGTTGGCTTTGTTTCTGAGAAAACACCAAGTAGGGAATGACATGGGTGCTATGGTAGGTCCCCGATACCCCAGGTCCCTGGGGCCCTGGAATGGGAGGCCACAAAGGTTTTCATGAAGAATTTGGCAGCTGGCATGCAGACATGAGTTTGTAGCCTGGGTTGGGTCTGGGGCCAAGGCCACAGAACTCTTAGAGGCAAGGCTGAGGATGAGAATTGGATCCCTGTCACCGAGCTGGGCCACATGGTCAAGGATATGAAGATCAAGTCCCTGGAGGAAATCCCTCTTCTCCCTGCCCATCGAGAAACCTGAGATCATCGACTTTTTTCTTGGGGGCATCCCTCAAGGACAAGGTTTTGAAGATTATGCAATTTCAAAAACAGACTCATGCTGGCCGGAATATCTGGTTGAAAGCCATTGTCACTATCAGAGAATATAATGGGTGTGTCAGTCTGGGTGTTAAGTGCTTCAAGGAGGTAGCCATTGTCATTTTCGGGGCCATCATCCTGGCCCCGCAACAATTCTATTGTATTTGTGCAACAAGGCTACCAGGGGAATAAGATCAACAAGCCTCTCACCATCCCTAGCAAGGTGACCAAACACCAGGGCTCTGTGTTGGTGTGCCACATTGCTTCTTCCAGGGCCACTGGCATTGACTCCAGCCCGGTGCCCAAGAAAATGCTGCTGATGGCCGGTATGGACAACTGCTACACCTCAACCAGGGCTGCTGCTGCACTGCCACCCTTGGCAATCTTACCAAGGCCACTTTTCATGCTGCCTTCAAGACCTACAGCTATTTCACCCCCAACCTGTGGAAAGAGATTGTGTTCACCAAACACCTCCTATCAGGAATTTACCATCCATTTTATGAAGACCCACACCAGAGATTCTGTGCAGAGAACTCAGGCTCCAGCTGTGGCCAGCACATAATTTTACACACACAAAAAAAATAAAGTGAATTAAGTTTGAAAAATATTAACACTAAAACTTTCTTTTAAAATAACCTTATTGGTACAGGAGCTACAGAGCTAAGAAATATGAAAAAATACATAAGAAAAGGTGCTTTAAATTGATGACTATCATAGCTGGATTTTGTTCTTAAGGTAATTAAGTCAATTAATTTCATAATAAAAAATGAGTTGAGTTCACTTAGAGATTTGATGACACATCTACTTCCCCTGAGTTTCGCTCTAAGGTTTTCCTAATTACTCTAACCTGTGAATGCAGTGCAACATTTTGCAATTTCAAAATATTTCATGTACATTGTTGTGAAAAACCATGTGTGAATTGATATCAAGGAATTCAGGCAACTATGCTCTTACTGATGTTAATTAAAAACATCGAAGAAGAATATAAAAACAGGAGAGAAGAGTTCTAACACAATGATCTTATATATAGAAATCATACCTAATTTTCTTTTGTATGCTAGTAATTCAAGTGACTTTTTAAATTTTTTAATTTATTTACCTTTTAGAAGGGAAGGGAAGGAGAGAGGGAGAGAAATATCAATGTATGGTTGCTTCTCATGCATCCCCTGCTGGGAACTGGCCTGCAACCCAGGCATGTGCCCTGACGGGGAATCGAACTGCTGTCTTTTTGTTCACAGGCCCATGCTCAATCCCCTGAGCTACACCAGCCAGGGCTCAAGTGACTTTTTGTAGTAGCATTTTGTAATAAAGTCTTACAGGAGACCTCAATATATAAACAGTTGAAAGTTGAACAGTTTTGGTGGAAGAGGAAAGAAAAGCTCAGTTAGGTTATTTGCTCCCTTCCTCTTTCCACCATAACAGTACTCCTAAAAATGCCTTGTTAAACTACAGGGCTGAGTTTCTCCAATGGAATGATGTGTTTTCTGGACACATCAACACCTGGCCACACAACTTTCTTAAGTTCTAATAAATTAGCTCCACAGACACAGTATGTTTCTGAGCTTAAATTTATGTTTTTGAGAGTCACAGACTGCAGAAGTCAGGAACTTTGGTGAGTACTAGAATGAAGTACCTTGCAGAAGCAGAGAGAAGAGGTCAACCTTCAATTCTCTGGGTCCTGTGTTCCTGAAATCCAACTGTCTTCTTGCCTTTTCCTTAGGCTAGTAGTTCAAACCTTCCTTCAAATTTCTTTTTGCTGGAAACTAGTTAAAGCTGCGATTCCTTTATTTGCAATCAATAGTCCTAACTTAATACAAATACCATGATCATATTTTTAAAACATTTATAGAAGCTGTATTATGTGACATAATACAAATGTGTCCATGACAGTTTGCCTTGGCTGACAAGAAAATTCAGTGAGAGAATGTAGACTGTAAAGCAATAATTTTAATGCAAAAACACAGTGAACTATGTTTCTGCTTGATCAATGACTTTATGAGTTGTTCTGTGAGAGATGTTACCAAAAGTAGGTAAGCTTTCTATCTTCTCTCTCCTAAAATACTTCATTTTTTCCATTTATTTAATTTCACTGATAAGGGAGAGAGTCTGACCGATCATTCTGTGAAAGAAACACCAGCTGCTTGGAGAACTGGAGAAATTAAAGATTATTCACAGGATATATCTTACTTAGAGGAACTGGAAAAACACAGATTTTCAGTTTGGTGAGTAACTATATGCTATCTGTTTTAAAATTTACATTTGTTGAATTCATCAAGTCTTTATTCAGTCTATTCTTTTATTATTCATTTATTCAGCAGATATTGGTTATATACCTATTACAGACTATAAAATTTATGTCCTGACTTGAAATGTTCATAGTCTGATGAAGTATATGGATGTTAAAAACATTAATATAATTTGATAATATTATTTTAATGAAAAATTGCCACATTTACATGTGGAGAAAATGATGGCTAAATCGTTTAGAAATAGAGAAAAGTTTTCAGTAAAAGTTTGAGCCAAATCTCGGGGAGGAATATCACAATGGAAAAATAGTAAGAATTTGGTGTGGACAGTATCTGGAGATGAAATTGAAAAGGATGGCTGGAGTGATATAGGCTATAAACCTTAGTTCACTTGGGAATCTAAACAGATCATAGTTATTGCTCTCTTTACCTGGTGGTGTGTATATAGGTATATTTGTCTATGCCAGCATGCATATAACAAATATGAAAAAATACATAAAAGAATGAGCAATGGAGTTTCTCAGAAGTAATGGTTATAGGATTTTGCAATGGTGGGATTCATCAAATGTAGGGGAAGGAACAACAGTGAGTGATGTGTGAAGTAACCTAGGAAAGGAGAAGAGATGGGGTAGCTAGTCACAGTCATCTGTTCCAAACCTCTGCACACCTCAAGATTCATTCCCTGAATGGGTTTCCCACTGGCTGTTTATCTGCCTTATGACTTGCTTCCCAAAGAATGTTCTCTTACTCTTCCATCCTACAATCATCATTGGGAAGACATGGTATAAGCTGAAGTTTTCTTTATCCAGTCACATTTTCTGCAATTCCTACTGGTTTTCACTTACATTTAAAAGTCTGAATACTTTCACCAATGCTTTCCTGTAGCAGCTGAGGTGTGGTATCCATGCTAAACAGTGAGTTCTTCTCAGGGTTAAGAGATGCAGGCTTGTGTTTAGGGAATGTCAGGTGGGAAAAGGAGCCCAGGAGCCTCAAAGACAAGAATATGCACACTATTTCACATAGCAGTATTATTTTACACTTAGAAATAAAGACTTAAGAGTTTCCAAGGATTTCAGAGTTTCTGTTTTAGATTGATCCTTAAGGTGCAACTCTGAGGCATTACTCTTAGTAAGCACTTCCTCATTCTCAAAGTCAAGAATAGGGACTGGCAAATTCCTATTCCTATTCCAAGCCAAATTCTGTCCTTTGTTTGTTGTAGTAAAAAGAATTTAACTGGAACTCAGACACACTCACTTGTTATATATTGTCTTTGGCTATTTTTTCCCAGAATGGCAGAATTGAATGGTTAAGACAAAGACAATATGGCCCACAAAGCCTAGAATATCTAATGTTTAGCTCTTTACCAAAAAGTTTGCTCACTGTTGCTCTACACAGACTAAGATGCTTCTCTGTTCTTTCATGACACTCACATTATTTATAAAATATTTTTATGCTTGTTTCCTTCATCAGGCCAGGTTCTTATGTGTTTTAGTGTTTTTGCTTCATGATGAATCAATCACTAAAGGCTTAGTGGCTTGAAACAAGCATCTTATTTCCTCAAAATTCTATGGATTGGGAATTCAGGCAGTACACATCATGGAAAGTTTGTCTGTGCTCCATCAAAGGCTTCAGCTAAGGTAGCTCAAATAGCTAGGATCTGGCTGAGATGCCTTAATTGAGACCATGTATCTGAAGCCTCACATTTGCTCTGAATTAAGAACTTTACTTATCTGCATGGGCTTCTCTCCACTGATGCTTGGGCTTCCTCACAGTATGGTGTCTGAGTTCCAAGAAGCATTCTTGCAAGCCCAGAGGGTGGACGCTGCAGATATTTTTAATTAAATATTTTTTATTGTTGTTCAATTACAGTTGTCCTCGTTTCCCCCCGCCCCAGGATTTACCCTGTCCTAACAACCCCCACCTCCCGCAGTCAATCCACCTCTCCCACACCTGTTTTCTTTGTCCATGGGTCCTTTTACATGTTCCCTGATTTGACCTTTCTCCCTTTCCCCTTTGCCTGACAATTGCCTCCCCTCTGGTCACTGTCAGTTTGTTTTTTATTTCCATGTCTCTGGTTCTATTTTGCTCACTTGTTTGTTTTATTGATTAGGTTCCACTTACAGGTGAGGTCATAGGATATATGTCTTTTACTGCTGTCTTATTTCACTTAGTGTAAAGCTCTCCAGTTCCATTTATGTTGTTGTGAAGTGTAGGAGTTCCTTCTTTCTTACTGCTGTGTAGTATTCTATTGTATAAATGTACCACAGATTTTTGATCCACTCATTGACTGATGGGCACTTAGGTTGCTCCCAGCACTTGACTATTGTAAATTGTGCTGCAATGAACACTGGGAGGCATAGGTTCTTTTGAACTGGTATTTCAGCATCTTTAGGGCACAATCCCAACAGGGGTTAAAAGGCAATTCCATTTTCAGTTTTTCAGGAAATTCCATACTGTTCTCCACAGTAGCTGCACCAGTCTGCATTCTCACCAACAGTGTACTACGGTTCTCTTTTCTCCACAACCTTGCCAGCACTTACTATTTGTTGGTTTGTTTATGGTAGCTGCTCTGACCGGTGTGAAGCTGTATCTCATTGTGGTTTTAATTTGCCTCTCTCTGATGGCTAGTGATGCTGAGCATCCTTTCATATGTCTCTTGAAGAAGTGTCTGTTCAGGACCTTTGACCATTTTTTGATTGGATTGTCTTCCTGTAGTGGAGTTGTGATATCTTTATATATTTGAAAGATCAAACCTTTATTGAAGGTACCATTTGTATATAAAATTTCCCATGTGGTTGGTTCTCTTTTAATTTTTTCTGATTTTTTTTAGACATGCAGAAGCTTGTCGATTTGGTGTAGTCCCATTTGTTTATTCTTTCCTTTTTGTCCCTTGCTCTAGGGGACATATCAGTGCAAAAATTGCTGTGTGGAATATTCGAGATTTTCCTGCTGATGGTTGCCTCTATGACTTTTATTGTGTTGCAACTTGTATGTAAGTCTTTTACCCATCTTGAGTTTATTTTTCTGTATGGTGTAAGTTGGTGGTTGAGTTTCATTTTTTTACATGTAGCTGTCAAGATGTTCCAATACCATTTGTTGAAGAATCTATTTTTACTCCATTTATGCTTCTGCCCCCTTTGTCAAATATTAATTGACCCTAGAGACATGGGTTTACATCCGGGCTCTATTCTGTTCCACTGGTCTGTGAGTCTGTTTTTATGCCAGTACCAGACTGTTATGATTACAGCGGTCTTGTAATACAGTTTGGTACCAGGTATTTTCATTCCTCCTACTTTGTTCTTCTTTCTCAAAATTG